TTCTTTTAAGTATTAGTCAGCTATGTGATAAAAAATATTGTGTAAAATTTTTTCCTACTAGCTGCATATTAAGCCTGAATGGTAATAATGTTTTGCATGGTATACGGGTAAACAATGTGTATATGCTAGACTTGAATTATATCAAAACTACTACTATTTTTGTTTAAAAAATTATTTCTGATGAGTCATAGCTTTGGCATATGAGACTTTGTCACTCTAGTATAAAAAATCTTTAGAGAATTACCCAAAAGAACTTAGTGAGAGGTATACCAAAACTAGACATTATTAAGGATCACCTTTGCGATGCATGTTAATTAGGAAAATAAGTGAAGTCCTCTTTTCAGTCCAATAAGAATCTTAGAATTCATAAACCATTGGAGATTTTACATATGAATCTTTTTGGATCAGTTAGAACTATAAGTCTAGGAGAGAAAGTATATAGATTTATAATTATGGATTATTTCTCTAGATTCACATGGGTTAGATTTCTATATCATAAGAGTGAATCAATTGAGAAATTTAGAAATTTTTTGACTGGATTCAAAGGAAACTAGGATGCGAGATTTTGATAATTCAAAGTGATCATGAAGGGAAATTTAAAAATGAAAATTTTTGAGGATTTTTGTAAGGACAAAGGGATTGATCATAATTTTTTTGCACCTAGAACCCCTCAGCAGAATAGGGTAGTCAAAAGAAAAATAAGAACATTAGTAGAAGCCGCTTGAGCCATGTTGGCAGAATATTTACTTCCTAAATATTTTTGGGCTGAGGCAGTTAGCACCGCATGTTATGTTCTGAATACGATGAATGTTAGATCAAACTTGAATAAAACATCCTATGAGTTACTAAAGGGGAGAACACCTAATTTATCATATTTGCATGTTTTTGGATATGAGGCGTTCATACATAACAATAGAAAATATGCCTTAGGAAAATTTGATCTAAAATCAGATGAAGGAATTTTTATAGGATACTCAATTATAGAAAAATCTTATAGAGTATTTAATAAAAGAACTTTGGTAATTGAGGAGACCACACATATTGTATTTGATGAATCTGGACTTTTAGAAGAGCCGATTATTAAAGAAGATGAGATAGAGATTAACTCCCAAAAGATTGAGAAAATAAATTTATAAGAAAATTTTGAGACAGAAAACTCGATGCCTAGAGATTTGAGATTTTCTAAAAACTACCCAATGGAATTGATTATAGGCGAACTAGTGAGGGTGTTAGTACTAGGCGTGGACTGAACAAAGAAGTTAATCTTCAGCCTTTATTTCAATGATAAAACCCATAAATATTGATCAAGCACTTTCGGATGAATTTTGGATATTAACTATGCAAGAATAATTAAATCAATTTGTAAGAAATGAAGTTTGGGAATTAACTGTAAGGTCAAAGGATTAAAGTGTATTTGGAATTAAGTGGGTATTCAAGAACAAAATAAATGACTCGGGAGTAGTCATTAGAAATAAGGCTAGATATGTGACTAAGGGGTATAATCAAATTGAAGGGATTGATTTTAAAGAGACTTTTGCCCCTATAGCTAGACTTGAAGTAATTAGGGTTTTATTAGCCTTTGCCTATTTTAGATGATTTAAATTATATCAAATGGATGTTAAAAGTGCTTTTTTAAATGGGGTGATTTAAGAAGATGTTTATATGGAACAACCTCTAGGCTTTGAAAATTCTAACATCCAAATCATGTTTTCAAATTGAAAAAGGTATTATACGGATTAAAATAGGAACCTTGGGCTTGGTATGAGAGGTTGAGCACCTTCTTACTTGAGAGATCTTTTGAAAAAAGAAGTGTGGACACAACTCTCATTTTAAAGAAATTTGGAGATGATATAATCATTTTACAAATTTATGTTGATGATATCATCTTTATATCAACAAATAAAAATCTTTGTGATAATTTTTCAAAAATAATGAGTAGTGAATTTGAGATGAGTCTAATGGAGATTTGAGTTACTTTCTAGGTTTTAGCATTAAGCAAATTGAGGAAGGTACACTTCTTTGTCGGTCAAAATATGTTAAGGACATTCTCAAAAAGTTTGAAATGGATAATGCTAAACCTGTTAGTATACCTATGAGTTTCTCAGTTCAGTTGGATAAGGACCCTAAGGGAAAATCTTTTGATCAAAAGAAATTTAGAGTAATAATTGGATCTTTGCTTTACTTGACAGCTAGCTGTTGCAACTCATGACCCCGAGTTTGAGATTTTGATGATGTCAAATAATGAGTGTTCTTGAACAACTTTTTATTGAATATTATTTTATTTGCTATTGTCCTTGAGTACTAACATTTCAGGAAGACCACAAGTGACTCAGGACGAAAGGAAGACTCAAGAACGGATAGATTAGGAGTATGAGTCAGATATTGTATTTTTCTATTTATTGTATTTTTATTTTCTTGTGTCTAGCCACAAAATGCATAAGAGTAAGAGCAATCATGCACACACACAGAGGGAGAGTTTGTTTTTAAATGCAAAATGTATTAGAATTTCTTCTCTGGAGATCGTACTGTACGATTTTAATTCGTACCGTACGATCCGAGCTATGTGGACGATTCTGTGAATAGATCGTACTGTACGACTATCTTCGTACTGTACGATATGTTCAGATCCAAAACCCTAGCCGTAGTTTAGTTTAAGTAAGTGATTTTGCGTCGTTCGTACTGTACGAATCGTTTCGTACTGTATGATCTATTTTAAATACTTACTTAAATTAACACGTGATTAGTGCATGAAATCCAGGCCTAATTAATTTTTAAACATCGTACTGTACGAACAGGATCGTACCATACAATGAACAGAGACGAAGTTTGATCATCCTGGATATCGTTCTGGACGATCTCTTGGTTTTTGTCTCATCGTACTATACGATAGTGCGACCATACGATGAACAGAGACTGAACATTGGTCGTCAGACCATCGTCCTGTATGAATATTATTTTGTGGATCATAACCGTACAATGATATTATATCGTACAGTACGAAATTGTTTTTAACATGTTCGTACAGCTTCGTACCACAGGACGAAGTCTGTTTATGAAGATCGTACTGTACGATGTGTAATCGTACTGTACGAACAGGAACATGAAAGCTACTTTTGAAATCAGAGATTTTTGGAGCCCGTTTTAGATGTCAATCAAGTTCTTTTTCAGTAAGAATCAACAGAGAGAAGAACGTGGTTAGAGAGGGACTCCAAGGGAGAGAGCTCTAAGAGAAGTTCTTTAGGGTGAGAGAGGAAGGAGAAGGTGAGCGTTGTGAGGGAGAAGAGGTGTGAGGGAGATCACACAGTTGCTCCGTACTTGCTGCATCTTGCTCCTCCTGTGACCCTAGAAGAATTTGAGGGAGGATCTCCAAGGGAAAGGCTCGTCTACATCTGTTACCTCGAGGTTCTCTGCCTTCTCCAGGAGGGAGAAAAACGAGAAGGTTCTCTGCCGTCGCCAGGAGGGCGAAAACAGAGTTTAGCACTCCGCCACGCCGGGTTGGTGAAAGGGATGTTTGTAAAGGCTTCTCCGCCTTGCCGAGGGGGGCAAAAGGAGAACTATTTTGGTAGCGAAAATCCCGTAGCGGAGGACTCCGGGGAGTGGACGTAGGTCATATTTTGACCGAACCACTATAAAAATTCTTGGTGTGTTTTTTCCTTATCGTCATTTACTTTTTACTTGCATTTAATTTTCATAACTATTGCATGGTGAAATTTGTGGAAGAAAACTTGCTTAAAGTTTTGTTGTAAAATTTCAAAAATAACAAGAAAAATTAAAACTACTGTTTAGGGTTATTTTTATTGAGAAAAAGATTTTCACAATTCACCCCCCCTCTCTTGTCGTTTAGTAATTTCACTAGCCAACCTGATATCATGTTTAGTGTTTGTTTATGTGCAAAATTTCAATCAAATCTAAAAGAATTACATTTAACAACAGTGAAAAGGATTTTAAGATATCTCTTATGAACTCAGAACTTAGAAATTTGGTATCTTAAGTTTAGCTCTTCATTTGAAATAATTGAATATTCAGATTTAGATTTTGCTAATTATAGGGTTGATAGAAAGAGCACTTCTGAAATATGTCAATTTATTAAAAATTCTTTAGTCCCTTCGTCCAGTAGAAAATAGAATTTCGTAGCCCTATCTACTGCTGAAGTTGAATACATTGTCCTAGAAAATTAGTGGCACAAATACTTTAGTTGAAACAATATTTGATTGATTTAGGATTAATTATATGCATTATTCACATTTATTGTGATAACACTAGTGACATTTGTATTTCAAAAAATCCAATTCAACATTCAAGAATTAAATATATAGACATCATGCATCATTTTATAAGGGATCATGAATCCAAAGGAGAAATTGAACTCAATCATGTTTCAACTAAAAATTAACTTGCAGATATTTTTACAAAATCACTAGCCTTTGATTCTTTCAGTACATTAAGAATAATGGTTGGTGTGATTGACTTAAATGCTTGAATAAATATTTCTGCAATATTGATATGTGTTTTGTTAGTGTGTTTTTTTATTTTGTGATTTTTTGTATGTATTTTTCAATTCTTGTTAGTGTTTACTTTTGCAATTTCTTATCTATTTGTTGTATATATTTTCACATCAAAATTTGTGTTTTTTGAGCAATCATATGAAAATTTCTAAGTGTGACATTCATCTTTACGAATATATCTACGTACTGGACGAATCCTGTGACGTATTAATTATTGAGTTAAACTATTTGCATGCAATTTTTCAATTTTTATTAACATTCATCTGTACAATCCATAGATCATCCGGATGATGTGTATGCATCCGTATGTATACATGTAGACAATTATACATATAAGATTAGTTTTTATTTCTGATCGTACGTACGAACATTCAGTTCGTACATACGAACACGTGGCATTTTTTTGTGAGGGACGTTTCAAACCATCATAAAAATTTTCTTAAATAACTAATAGTCCAGGACAAACACCTGTTCGTCTGTTAGGGTTTTTTTAGAGCTATTGTCAGCAGCAAATACAAGGTTCCAGTTCCTAGGGGGTGCCGACGAGGCACCACCAGAAGAAGAAACCAAGGGAGGGAAATCAAATGGGGAGAGCACAGAATCCATGAAAGGAAGAGGAGGAGGTCCTCCGGCAAAGCCGGAGGAGACGGGAAATAGGAGTTGAGATCAGCCGGAGCAGAGGAAGGGAAAAAATCTTTTAAGCAGGATGACTTTTGCCGAGAAGATCCAGGTTTGTTTTCAAATTTGAGAAAATAGAGGAAAGGTAGAGAGGAGTGCAATCTTAGTCGATTCTTAATTTGCCCGTAACCCAACGCCATACTCTCTCCATGTCCTTTTCAACCTTAAACCTGCTGTCACCCATGGCAAACCACAATCTTTACGCCTGCCTGAATGGCAGCACATCATACCAGGGTGAGATGTAATGAGATGCCAAACTTAAAGGACAATTTTTTTTTTCGGAAACTTAAGGACATTTTGTTTGTTGGTTTGTTTTCATCCACAAAGGAAACCTGAAAATTAGACTTACGACTAAAAAAGTTGCATTGGCAGCAGAACTTCATCAAAATGTAGTTCTCCAAATTTAATTATGGCAGAATTTAACCAAGCAAAATAGATTAAAAAATGACCTAATTATGCCCTAAATATGATAGAAATCAAACAAAACAAAAACTAGCTTATTGATAACTTGGCCGCTAGGTAAAGAAGCCTTGAGTTCAAGTTCCATCTCTAGTCATTTATTTACACAATAAACGTTACTGCAGCTTTAACGAGATATTTTTCGTGAATAGACGAGTTGATATGAACTTTTAATAGTTCATTTAATTTAGAAATGATTTACGGAAAGTGCATCTCCGTCAACATCATTCAATTATCAGACTGGTGACATAATTAAAGAAGGCATGATATGCCTCAAGAACAATCTTTGTGGCGGCAAAAATAGTTGTATGCTCGAACTTTCAGTTCCCTCCGCCTTCGCTTTTCCTTGAGTAACAGGCTTTTAGTGCCAGAACTTCTGGTTTTTGTAAAAAGAACATATAATATATTTTAGCAAACGATATCCATATCAAAATAATACACCATATTAGGAAACCAGCGAAGAAACTAGTCTGCTATTAATAATGTTAAATTATAGTATGGTATTTTAGATTTCAAACTGAGTAAAACAATGTAGGCATGCACCTACTTACAACCATAAGAAAATATTGACATGAAATCAATGAACAAAACTTCAAGGAAATGAAGTTGTGGAGAGCGACGTGAAGTTGAACTTAAATATCAAAAGATTACCAAGTCCTTTATGTTGATAAGAATTAAGGTATATATTATGTTAAATTTATCATCATATCTAAGTTGGAAAAACTTTGGGTTACAGAGATTTTGGTGTCTAAAATTAGTAATTCTTATATAATCTTATATGCATACGTAGGTTCAACTTAGGTATCTAATAGTTCCTCTAATGGATTCAAGTTTGTCCATTGGTGATACCCTACTTTACTAGCAAGCGAGTTAAATGCGTATCCTATTTTATTCACTAGCTTAAGTATCTATAATACAAGTGTCAAGGGATGCCAATGATGCAAAAGTTCCTAATTGTTTGTCATTTATTTATAGGGATCTTAGTGCTACTATAAAAGATATATATATAAAAGAATAATAAATAAATTCATAAGATAATGACTCAAACAATAGTCTTCATAGGACACGTCATCTCTTGACTGACTTCATTAATGATAATTGTACACTCATAATTACCTATGTAGGTACCCATTCGGAGGTGTCTTATAGGTTATGATCTAGTCGAGCAAAAGGATGGTGCACTCCTCACTTTTAACAGTTCATTCGAGGGACTCGCTTAGGAGATGGAAAGAGCTTAACACTGGAGCACGACGAACCAGGACCGATCATATCATCCAAGAAATTGTCTCCCGTGGGGTGGGGGGAGGGCGACCTTAGAAGTTTCTCTTTTAGCTAGATAGATATTTATTCAACCAAGCAAGAGTTAAGTCCCCCATGCAAGTACACAAAGCAACTAATGACAAACATTGCCTCTTCAATGATCTCCCTCTCACATTTGCTTGAAGACCACATTTGAATGCTACTAGCTCCTCTTTCATTAACAGGTCAACCAAGACCAGCCTCCCATCTCATGTCAGTCCATCATCACGACAGCATCTTGACAACACTCGCCTCCTCTCATTGCAACGGAGTAACCACAAATTATCATCCGATCTTGCACGACTTACCCTACTCAACTATCGACCATCTTGGCACCGACAAATTGCAACTAAGGATTCATGGGACAGCTAAATACCAGAACGTAACTCCTGCATTCTTCTGAAACCTACAAAAGGGGGGAGGAAAAGACTTTTTTTTAGAAATAACTTGAGGATCATATGTAATATAACTGAGGACAAAGAGAGAGAGAGAGAAAGAGGGGGGAAATCCAAAGAGAGGAGAGATTCATAAAGCATTGAATCATTTTACTTTGCACAGCTCGAGCTTCATGACGGAAAGCTCGTACTTTCATTATTTTTGTATCTCTTTCTTGGATAATAAAATCCTTGTATAATTTTATATCTCTCTCCATTTCTCACACTAATGCTTCATTACCTTCTCCCCAAAAAATCTCAGGACACAAGTAGCACAAAATATTGGATAATAAAATCCTTGTATAATTTTATATCTCTCTCCATTTCTCACACTAATGCTTCATTACCTTCTCCCCAAAAAATCTCAGGACACAAGTAGCACAAAATACGGCCTGGTATCATACATCAAATAAAATGGGATTCAACATCCTCTTAGTTGTATTGAGCATTGATTAATGCTAAAGGCAAGAAACCCAATAACTACCAGACCTATAGCCTCAGGCCCTTGGAGAATACCATGAACCCTTAGTACACCATTCGCTGTGAGATACATGAAACTGAGAAGTGTCTCTTGAAGTCCATTCAAGATATACTCATTGCCACTAACCATCCACTATGAACGGTTAGCACGCTCGAAGGATCATCCAATTTTGGTGCTTAGCAAGAGCCACAAGAAGAAGCTCATGCTTCAAATCCAACTGGCAATCGCAATCGCCCCAAGGCAAGAGATGAAAACTCTAGTCTGACAATTGGACAGACCAAGGAAATCGAACCAGGGCAAACTAATGTCTTCACTAGGATGAACATCGAAGCAAGAGTACCTCCCAAGTTCAAGGTACCTCAACTTGAAGCTCACTAAGGCAAAATGGATCCTACGGATCAAGTGACCTCTTTGGAGTCCTGGACCTCTCTTCTCGACATTATTGATGGCCTTCAGTGTCATCTCTTCTTCACTACTTTGAATGACTTAGTGCTATGGTGGTTCATTTGCCTATGCAGTGGGATGATCATCTTCTTCACTGACTTCAAGCAAATGTTTGTTAAACAATTCACCTATGCCCAGAGATCTCCTATAAAAGCTCACAAGTCCCACTAAAGATGAGACAAGAAAAAGGCGAGTCACTGAGAAGCTTCGTATTGTAATTTCAAAAGGAAATGTTCAAACTAAAGACATTAAGCTAGCAATCACTCAAGCAGCCCTAAGGCAGGGGCTGAGGGAAGGTCCCTTCTGATATGCACTAGGCCTACAACTACAAAAAATGCTTATGGAATTATTTTAACTCGCCAATAACCATGTTAATTCTTATGAATAAAACCAAGTGATTGAATCCTCTGTAATGGCCTTGCGTCATGATCTCACCATATGGAGAAATCACCCTCCATAAGGGCTAGACAGAGTAAAAAGAACCAAAGGCCAAGCCTCAAGTGTGGATGAAGAAGCACCAATCCAAAAGGCTATTCTTGTTTCTTATTCCATTTTAACGTGAAATTTTTTTCATAATTATATTCAAGTGGATTATATTTTAGTTAAAATAGGTTTTAATATTGCCTCTAAATGTCAATGTTGTTTTTACATTGAAAGTCTGAATCATGTTTTTGTTAGTGACTCCATTTCTCTTAAATTGTGATTATACTTTGATAATATATTTAATGCTCATTTCTGCATTAATTATAGTTGCATCACTGATATTGTGCAAGCTTGGTTTGTTCCTAATAAGGGTCATATTTGTAATGTCTTACCTGTCATTATATGTTGATTTTTAAGGGGTAGGAAGGAGTAAGCATGAAGACATTACTATGAATGCTTTGATATGAATGCTTTGAATATAATCGTTAAAGTTAAAGATAAAGTGAAGCAATTATTTTTGGTTAGTTTGATTAAGATTGATTGTTTCAAAGATTTTCGCCATACTGCTGTGGAATTTGGTAATAATCTTTCCTCCATTCCTCATATCTTCAAAGAGAGAATTGTGAGATGGCTTAAACGTATCCATGGTTTCTTTAAACTCAACACTGAGGGCACTGTTAATTAGTCTAATGCTGATTGTGGGTCTTATCTGTGACTTCAATGGCCATGACATTGTGGCATATGTTGGTCCCTCGGAAGCTACAACTATTATAATGGCTGGACTGCTAGCTCTTCATTATGTTTTGCAATTGTGTATTTCATTAGGGACTACTAATGTTTGGATTGAAGTTGATGTTACTCTTATTCATTATATTAAGGGTAATTTAATTTCTAGCCCTTCTAATTTCTATCTCATTAGAAAGATTAAGCATTGGCTTTCCCTCATATTCTTTTCATTTCTTATACTTTAAGAGAAGGCAATTTAGCTGCTGATTATTTGACTAATTTGGGTTGCAATCTTATTGGTTTTACTGAATTTACGGCTGTCTCTTTACCTACTACCAAGCTTATGGACTGATGTGGACATCCAACCGTCCATGCCTATCCGAGGAGGAGCTAAAGATCGACGGCCGAGATCCCTTCATTTTATCTTATTTTATTAATTGTAATTTTTTATTTAATTATGCATTTTTCCTTTTTTACCCTTACTTAAGGGATTTGTCTTATGTAAGCCCAAGGGGCAAAATTGTCTTTTAGTTTCTTTTAAGGCCTATATAGAGAGGCATTTGCTCTTGTATTAGGATGATGGATTATTAATAAAATTTGTGTTTTTGCACTTGTGTTCTTCTTGAGAGAGGACGAGAGTGAAATCCCTATGGGAGGGATTTGGAGTTTCCACCAGCCGCAGGACGGGTCCGGGCTCGTGGCGTGAAGTCCCTTGGAGAAGGGCAACGTAGTACCCGTCAGTCGCAGGATGTGTCCGGGCTCGCGGTTGTATCTTTAATATTTTGTCTCTTGTTTTTGTTTATTTGCTTTTGTTCCTTCTTGTTGCTCTTCATCGTTATCTTCATCTTCTTCCTCCTCCCCATCTTCGTTTGGCCGCCGGATTCTAACCTCACCCGAAATCCTCCAAACCGCCGGCCTTGACTCCCTAGCCGCCGGTCTCATCCCCACTTCTCCGTCTCCTTGAAATTTCCTAATTAGGTTGATGATTTAATTGGGATGATCAAAAAAATTTCAAATCCTTTTGAATTTGAATTCGAAATATTTCCTAATTTGATTGTTCTATTTTAGGAAAGTATTCGAATGACATCCTTTGAATATTTTATTCATTGGGATTTAAATTGAAACTCTCTTCCTAAATTAAATTTCATAAATTTGGTAACTATTATTTGAATTCATTCAAATCAATTTGAATTTCAAATAGTTACTTAATTTATAGATTTCATTTTAGGAAACTTTTAAATTAATTCTTATTTAAATTTTAAATTAAGAGAGGATCAATTATTTCTTTCCAATCTTGATTTATTAATTAAGTAAGCATTAATGGCCCCAATAATTTCCCCTAGCTCATGTATGCCGCCGGCCCCACCTTCAAATAAATCCTAGAGATTTATTTCTTAGTCCCATAACCAAATTTTAGAAAGAATTCAATACCCCCTTCATCTAAATCTGGCCGAAATCCTCCTAGCTGTAATTCCCCCCCAAATCTTTCCAAACTCCTCCTTTTACGTTGGGAAATAACTCTCCATCACAATCCTGTGCTGGCCGAATTTAACCCAAGTTCTGTACGTTGGTTTCTCCACCCAATCCTTCTCAAAACTCTTCCCACATTGAGCCCTCTACCTTCTTCTACTGCAGCCAAGGAATTCCAGCCACTGTCCTTGCTTCCCCACCCTACAGAAGCCTCAAAACTGCTGCTTACGTTGGAAATTCCAGCAAAGGAAATTCACTGTGACACTGCCAGAACCTGCTGTTTTAAGTAGACCAGCTTGCTGTCCACTTATTCCAGCAAAGAAAACCTGCTATCCAGCACTTTGGAAGACCACCAATTGCTGTCCCAGTTTTTCTATGTGCTGTCCAAAGGTTCAAGAACGAAATTGGTTCTTATCCAGACGCCAAGGAGCCAGCACTTGATGTCTACTTCCTCTCAAGCCCTCAAACCACCACAGGAACCTTGGAATATCCTTTCTTTGGGTGGCTGCCATCAATTCCGTTCTGCATCATGGACCTAATGCGCTTGGATAATGGATAGGCTGGGCCTTCCTCACATTAGATCAAATTAATGTTTTCTGGTTCTTGGGCTTCTCTTATTGACGTCTCGTTTGTGATTTTTGATGTACCTCTTGCTGGTTACCGTCTTTGAGTTAATCTCCATTTTTGATGTACCTCCCAAAACAGCATTGTCTTCTTTGGGTTATCTTCTATGAAGTTGCGGTTAATGATGAGGATTTTTTTTTTTAGTTCCATTGCTGTTTTGCTGCCCCTTCATCACGATTTTAAAGTCTCTATTAGTATAGAGCTGGTTATTTTATGCTTTTGGCTGCTTTTTGTTTCCCTTATCTTTTTTAATAATAATCAGAACTTTTACGACAATGACAAGCATATTTATTTATGTTATTGGTTCATGATGGTGTTGGGAGGGTTTTGTCTGGCAATGATTGTATGTTTATGGATCATTACTTTCATCAAATCTGCTGCTCATCTTCTCCTTTTATGATCTTGAGAGGGAAGATTGATTGTCATTATGGAATGACCTTCATGTGTCATGTTTGTTATAATCAGTGTTGAACTTTTCGTTTTCTGTATTGTTGGGTTAATTTCGTTATCTCTGATCCGTTTACACCTAATTTTCTATCTTTTTCATCATGATCAGTCATCTGCTATCTTATCTTATAGGGTGTTGTATTTTCTGCATGTGCAAGGCTTTTAAGCAGGTGGTGTTGTTGGTGTTGTGCTTGGTCTGCCACTTGGTTTTGAAACTTTTCCCATCTATTATCCTATTACTTTGGGTTGTTTTTGGATTAGATTGGAGCGGCAGGTGGTTAATGGTCTGCATGACATTACTGATACTACACAGCTGAGCCAGTACAACACTTCTAATTGGCTTAGTTTTTGCTTTTATAGTTATCATGGTTTGATGGACAATTCTGGGTTATATGCCTGTGTTTGGGTCCTTGCTGTTTACTGCTCAATGAGTCTTCCTTCTTATACTGTTGTGGGTCTGTTGGATAACTGTCTAGCCGTACGTGCTGTTATGTATTGATGTTGTCTAGCTTATGTATGGTCTTGATTATAGCTGTGTTTTGAGCTGTTTCTTGTCCATGTTCTTTGTGCTGCCCTTGCTTATCCTGGGGTGCTGCTGTCGGCTATACTTTATTACCATTGATAATGTTTTAGTTCTGCTGTTGTACTCTTCGTGTGGAACATGGCTCAGTTCATATATATTCTTTTTAATTCCTACTATCATTATGCTTTTCAAATATCCATTCTGTTATTTTATTTCTAAGTTATTCTGTGCAATATTTTGTTTTCCAGCCTTTATTTTGTGGTGTATCGGCTCGAGGTTTTGGCCACCCTAGAATGTTACTAGGATTTATTGTTATATTTCTTAGATGGAACCTTTGACTCGTAGGTTTTCTTTTGATTTATTTTGTAGCCCTTTTGAGCATTAGTGAGCTGAAGGTCCTCCTTAAGGACCTTGTAATCTTTTTTTTTTATTAACGCGTAGGCCCATATATGGGTTCTAACCAAAAAAAAATTATTAAAACAATGGAAATTAATAATTTAAAGAGAAAAAATATAACGGCTACTTTCCTCTTCGATCTAAAGTTAAAGAGAAGTCCAACAAGGGACTGCATAAAGTTTCTAATTGATTGAAAGCATCCTTGCATTTGCTGGAATTTTTCTGAAATATCATTTTGATGTTGAAAACATTGCATGATCTTTTTTACCATAGTAGGAGTCAAAATTGACACCCAATCCGCATCTGATTCTTATGAAATTAATATAGTAATAGTTGATGCTAGGACGTTGACACGAACGACATTTTGAGGTTGGAGCTAAAATTGCCCCCCAGTAGAGAACCACGTTCTTACAGACGGCGCCAAACTATTGCATCCTAGAGTATTCGCGGCGGTAGAGAAATATAAAGTTTAGCGTTTTAGCATTGTACGAGGATCCAACACGCAATCATATGAAAAGATAAGGTGCGGTAATCATAAGAGACCAATATTTTATATTGAAAATCCTTAAAAGTGAAAAAACCATATGGGCTAGCCCAGTTTGAATGAATCCACTATTACTTGCTGTCAATTACAAATAAAGACCCTCCTTGGGGGAAAGGTCTTGGCTTGATGTACATCATATGGAGTACATTACATGATGGGCACACAAAAAATCACTATTGATGTGTTCGTCTGGTTAGAAGGATCTTAGTCAGCAGGCGACGGATGTCATAAAAATTGTTATCTGGTGATAGAGGTTGGAAGGACCGTAGTTAGCGGGCGACGGAGTTCGGTAGGACTGTTGACAGGTAGAAGTCCAGTGTCAGGTAAAAATCTGGTGACTGGAAGAAGTTCAACGACGGGTGAAAGTCTGATGTCGGGTAAAATCTGATGACGGATGGAAGACCGACGTTAGGTAGAAGTCTGATGAAAGTCCGATGACAGACAAAAGTTTGGCGTCGGGTAGAAATCTGGCGTTTGGTAAGAGTCCGGTGACATGTTGAAGGCGTTGGGTAGAAGTCTAATGAAAGTCCGACGACGGACAAAAGTTTGTCGTCGGGTAGAAATCCGACATCGAGTAGGATTCCTGTGACAGGTGTAAGTTTGGTGTCGGGTAGAAGTCCGACGAAAGTCTGACGATGGACAGAAGTCTGGCGTCGGGTAGGAATTTGACGACTGGTGGAATCGGGTAGGAGTTCGGCGACTGGTGGAAGTTCATCATCGGGTAGAAGTCCTACGACAGGCGGAAGTCTGACGACAGACGGAAGTCCACCGTCGGGTAGAAATCCAATGACAGGCAAAAATTTTGACGTCCGGTAGAAGTCTGACAAAAATTCAGCGACAGGCAGAAGTCTGACATCGGGTAGAAATCCAGTGACGGGCAAAAGCTTGGCGTTGGATGGATGTCTGACATCGGGTAGAAGTTCATTGAAAGTCTGGTGAAGGGAAGAAGTTCGACGATGGGCGGAATTTCGTGTTGGGTAGAAATCCAATGACGGTCAGCGGATGGGCAGAACTCCAGCGTCAATTGGTGGTCGAGCAGAACTCCAGCATCAGTCAGCTACCAGGTGAAAGTCCGTCAGTGATCGAGGAGGATTCTCTTCCTTCTCATCCTTTTCTTCATTTTCTTCTTGCTTAATTCCGGCGCCAGTTGGCGATCAAGTAGAACTCCAGTGTCGGTTGACTGCCAGGTGGATGTCCGGCAGTGGTCGAGGAGGAGTCTTTTCTTCCTTTTCTTCTTGCTTGGGCCTTCTTCTCCCCACCCTTTGGGATCCCTTCTATGAGAAATAAGAGGTCTATTTATAGTTTTTTTAGAGTAACATGAACAATAAATAAGGAGGAGATTAGGGGCAAGTTGGGAGTGGTTTGAATGGAAGGCTGATGTTGAATCCCTTGATCATGGTGCGTTTATTGGATATTTGAATATCTTAATGATATCATAATTTGACGATCGTGAGCTCGTTAGATTCGTTTCGTCGAGCCGGTCGATTCGGTTATAAGCATGTCACGTTTGGAGACCGTTTGGTAATCCAAATTATGGTTTGAACCTTCCAAATGTGCTTCTGGTCATTGATTTGAACCCATTTGAGCTCGGATTGGGTCGAATTTGGTGCCCTTTGGTTCGAATTTCCGACGTTCAGTTCAACTGTAAGTTTGATGAAATTGAAGTTCATATGGTCTCCGATTTAATTTTTGAAGTTTCCAACTTGATTATGCTCAAGATAATTTTTTAAGGATATATAAGATGTATTTCATTTGAACTTCTATTGTTGTATTTTAATCATCCCTAAAATAAATTTCAAATATGTGAACTACCTTAACTCCTAAATTGAATTGTCAAACAGTCACATAGGATTTATCCAGATTTATATTGAATGTTACTAAACAGTTTTCAAGATTTAACAAACTTAAGATTTAGTGAATCTGGATTTAGAGGATTTATAAAATCCTACTTAAATTAAATCTTAGGTGCCTCCAAACAGCCCATATGTGTTCATGTTCTTATCTCTTAGGAGTGCTTACTAATAATAAAGTCAGATGTTGTTCACATGTACATTTGGATCTAATAACATCAAAATAGAGGGATCTCTTAAACTTACTACATTTCCTTCATTATTTTGAACAATATAACACACAAGATTGCAGTTTCAACTTTGTTATTGAAGGAATAGTGAAACATATAAAATTACACACTATTTGCCTATCAGTTTATCTCATGACTGCACTATTTTTAACGTAGCAGAATGCGCCAATGAAAGGCAAAAAATTTGACACTACCAAATTTTGTGAGTGCAGAACTGGATCGAGATCTTACCAGGTTGGCAGGATTTCCAGTTACGGTTGGAACGGTTGAGGCATTCCTACAAACACAGCATGTTCAGGTTTATCGGAATTAGGTATGGAAGTAGACTTTAGAGAGAGGGAAGGAAAGGGGTAGTCAGCAGATATACCTGTAGGGCTAAGTACAGATTAGAGCATTCATTTAGCTGCTTCACGTTCTCGTCCTCTTCGTCCGCTTCAGTGAGGTGGTGCGGCAGTGGCTGGCGTGGGTTAGCAGAAGTAGGCGGCACGTTGATCTGTTTTGAAGTGGCCATGAGATAAAGCCCTGCTAGCTTGAGGGGATCCTGTAAATTCAAATTTAATAAATCCTCCTTAAAAGTGTTTGGTAAGATAAATGTTAAATTTTGAGATGTTATTTGACAATATATTTTAGAATTTGTTACAGACTTAAATTATATGATTATCAAGATTATTAAGTTCAAATTACTCGTTTAATTACACTATTAATTATATATTTAGTAATATATTTTTAAAGTTATATTAATTAAACTAATGATATTATATTTAATTATTAATATATCAAGAATTTTTCAATTAAGTTAAATTAGATAAATATTTTATGCACTAATTATATTACTAATTTACTCAATTATTATTATTTTAACTTATATTAATTAAGTTAAGCAGTAATAACTTCATAGGCGTGTCGGGTTTGCCTTTCATCTTCTCTTTTCGTAGTTTTTGTTCGGCTTCGTTGCTTCGCAGGTGGTGTAGAGATTGCACGCGTTGCTTCTTCGGCTCCTTCATCCTTCGTGGTTGTTCGACTTCACTCCTTCGTCGACTTTCCCTTCCTATCGGATCGGAAGTTACGACATTTTGATCGGATTCAACACCGGGAGCTCGCTTGCTTTGAAGATAACTTTCTCCCTTTCGCGCTCTTCTCCGGCGAAATCCCGTCAATCTTGTTAAATCTGGGAAAAGATGAGATTAGGATTTACCCGGATTTACCGGATTTATGCCGTAAATCCGTAAATCCCAGATTTAGGGAGTCGCCGGATTTAGATGCACAAGAAAAGGTGTTTAGCTGGATTTAGGTTAAATCCTACTTAAAAGTGAAGACAAATCCGATACCAAACACCCCCTAAGCCAAAGATGCAAAAAAACTATAGAGTTTAGTTCTTGGAAATAACTATGAAGATCTTCTTTATTAATGTTTTAGCGTTCCAGAAAAAACCCCGTCATGATGAGCTTTTTAAAAATTTTGACAGTCTAGTGGTGCTAAAACTACATAAATTTTTTAACATTTGTAAAAAGACATCTGGAATATTTAAAAGAGTCTGTTTTTTAAAAAGCAGTTTGAGCTATTCGAGCACGACTCTTGAAGGAGGAACGTGTGTTGTCAATCAACGAGCCACAACTCGGTTTCCGACAACTCGAGCCGCAAGGAATTTCATTTAGAAATAAATATAACAAAATTTACTTTAATGACATTTAAGCCGTCCACTTCATCATCCATTTCTGATTTTGACCGAACCTTTGGTGATCAAATTAAAATACTATGTTGTTCTTAGGTTGTAGATAACATTAATAAACGTTTAACTTAGCAATTTTAGTAAGTAAATTAATTGTGTCTGTATTATTCATATATAGCTCACCTATAAATCTGTTGGTTAAAAGAATTAGCTACTAATGAAGAGATCTTTAATTTGAAACTTATATATGTGATGTGTGTGTTAGTTAGCCTATAATTAGTTCAAAAATTCCTAAATACAATATATATATATATATATAAATATATTTAATTCAGTTCTAAAACATATAAAGTATCAAACAAAAATAGAAAATAGAAATTGTAAAATTTAAAAATTCCATAAATAAACTTTATTGATTAAGGATGGCGACATGGAAGCATTTTTAAAGATTAATTGGAACAATAACCTATTTTTATTTTGAATTTTAACATTTATAAATCATAAATTGACATGGGAAGAATAAATTTCATTAAATAAATCTATAAAAATATGTGGTAATCATTTAGCTAACAAAGCTCAATCAGATACATTTACATGCCATTATTCAATAAAGAAAATACAACCCACTCAATAGTATTCAATGGGATACGTGACCAGCCTTGATTGTGCTATTATTTGCCAGCTTTTTATACAATCTCGCCATCACCATATTTCATTTTGTTTCATCTATTCTATGGGTCATATACATCAAGCTGCCGATGTCAAGCATCAATTTGTAAACCATAAGTTATCTGCCTTAGCTTTTCTTTTATTAATATTTATCCACGGGTGACACCAAGTTTACTAGCAAGTAATCTTCTAGACCAGAACTTTAGAACATAGAAAAACTTGGATGAGTATGAAGAGTTAAAGAGACGAAGAGACGACAGTATTAAGTATGCCCAACCAAAGCAGAAAAACAATAATATCTAAATGATCCAAAAAGTGCATCTCCAACTCTTTATATTAAGGGTTTGGAGGTTGGCAAATAAGACTATGTACAAAGATAAAATAAGGAAAAAAAAGTGTGTATAATGCTACGTACCCAAGACTTATTATTGGCTTTATCTGACACATTGTTCCATTGATGGTCATCCATATGGCTCCCTACTTCAGACATGACCCACAATTCTGCGGCTGGTTTTCATAGACGTAGTGTTCATGGTTGAGTCCTCAAGATAAGACAAGTGAGAGGGTTTGCGTGGAGAAGTCCACTAGTTATGGCAATGAGTCCTTAGGGACATCGCATGACCATCTAAGGATGAGGGGCAATTTCTTCTTGTGCCAATGATTAAAAGCTAAGGAATAGCTGTATGGAAGATCTTAGTTCGAAATCCTTGTGGTGTGTGCTTCTTGCAAATGGATTGAGGGACATTGGTTGTATGATGTGTGATCTCCAGAGCTCAATCACTATTGAGAGTGTCTCCCTTGAGCATGCACGAACCTGTATGAGTTCCCTTAAGAACATACCGAGAACAAATCATTCTTCTGATCAATTTGGATTATTCATGCTCCATACAAGCGAATACTTATAGCAGTTTTTGTTACAAATATGTTTTTGGATTATGATTTTGATGATAGCAAACAAATCTTGTTTCACTACGACTGTCTTTTTCTACTGATTTTTCAGGACTCAAAGATCGGACGGAAATCGGAATCAGCTCAAGACTGGGTGGATTAGGATTGAGTCAGTCTGTAATTTTCTTCTTTTCTTTTTTTGAGTCAATTGTAATTGCTTGAAGTGACTGATGTTAAGTAACCCTACACACACACTTGAGATATTTAGAACTTGTGTTTTTACTCACATCGTCCCGGACGATCGAGTTCAAAAGAGAAGATCTAATCAGGATTTCTTAGTTAAGGCAGCCGTAATTAACTGATCGGCCTGGACGATACCTGTATCAGCCAGGACGATATGCTCAATACAGAAAGAAATTGCCGCCACGATCAGTTTAGGTATTCTATATTTTTGGAAATCGGTCAGGACGATTATTTGATCGGTCTAGACGATATTGTATAATTATGCCTAAATTGATCCGACAATCATGAGAGTAATTAAGGATGATTGATACGATCACATTGTCCTAGACGATCGCAAGATCATCCTGGACGATCCATTCAAAAACCCTTGGTTTCTCCTGGATGATAAATATCGGCCAGTATAAATTCAGGGCGATGCGCTGGCTGATTTAGATCGGACAGCTCAAATTCAGGGCGATGCTCTGGATGATTTTCCTTTGATTTGAACTGATCGGCCAGGACGATCGTGAGATTGTCCGGGACGATCAAGCAAATTTTCAATCGTCCAGTTTGCATTCAGGGTGATGCTCTGGCCTATCCTATGAGATTTGTATTGATCGGCCATGACGATTTAAATATCGTCCTGGATGATAAAGTCAGCAACTTGCAATTAATGAGCCCCTTTGAAGCTCTTCTATTAAAGAGCACTTGTTCAATATTTTTGAACATCCTTGGCTGTTGTCTTGACCTGAGAAAACCTAAAGGGGAGAGAGAGAGGGAGAGAGAGAGAGGATCTTGTGAGGGGGAGCTTGTGAGAGGATTCACAAGGGTTGCTCTAAGCATCGTTCCACTTCTTCTTCCCTAGAGTCTCTTGTCCTTGGAAGGGTTGGGAGAGGTAAGTTTCAGCAAGTGATCGTGGTTCTCTGCCTGCTTCAGGAGGAAGCAAAAAGAGTTGGGTTCTCTACCTTGTCGGGTGTGGCAAAAAGGAGGTGTTTTTGTAAGGGCTTCTCCGTCTAGCTGTGGGGGCTAAAGGAGAGTCACGTTGGTAGTGTAATACTCAGAGGGCCCTCCGGGGAGTGGACGTAGGTCGAGTTGACCGAACAACTATAAACCCTTGTGTTCTTATTTTTATTGCTTCCGCATTTATTTTCTTTTGCACTTATTTTTGTGGTGATTTGGTTTGTAATAATCATTTTTTTTGCTTAAAAGAAATTGTTGTTAAATGCAATTCAACCCCCTCTTGGTTAGCCTCGGGCCAGTTCTATTAGGCTTAACATCCCTAACAAAACTTGAAGTTTATCAAGCGAGTTCATAAAAAAACTAAGTTTTTGAAAACTTTTTTGAATTTTGATCCATGACATAACTTTGGAATCGTAATACACCGGAAAGTATTCTATTACCTGACCACCTTTGTTTATAATATACTATTTAATTTTTAAGAAAACTCGCATGTCTACGTTTTATAATCTACTGATTATCGCATGTGAGCTTATTAAGAGCTACACACTCCAACTGTAAACTTAAACGTATACTTCCCACTTCCTTTTTACTAATGGACTTTAGATGATAGGGATTGGCTCAATTAAATGCAAAAATGTCTTAATTAGCTTTTGTCTTGCTTTAAAATCAGAAACACTACATCGGTTTCCACTTGCAAAACTGTAAAGAAATTTGATAAAATTGTGTGATCACTTATGAATTGCACTAATTGAAGTTAAACATCCCGTTTGAATATTCTTTTGCATGACTATGAACTTTTTCGTATGAAACCTCATGAATCAATTTCTAAAATGTATACGAGATTTAATCAGATTGTTACTTCTTTGCATGCCTTAGGAAGAGAACTTTCAAACTATAAAAAAGTGAACAAGATTTTGAGATGCTTGCCTTCATCTTTTGATGCTAAAATCACTGCAATCACTGAATCTAAAGATTTGAATACGTATTTGATTGACAACTTACTTGGCTCACTCATTGCTTACGAGCAATGAGTGAATCAAAGAAATCTTGATGCAGGTGAGAAAAGAAGGGAGAATGAAAGTTCGTTAAGGGATGTTAAGCCCTATGAACTTAGTCCCAAGCTAACCAAGAGGGGGGGTGAATTAGTATTTTAAAAACTCTTTTCACAAAGAAAAAAAAT